AGATCAAGGGGGAGTAACTTTGATATTGGCAAAAGACTCAAAAGAAAAAGTGCGACTGAAGATGATTACAGAAAGATTATTTGTGTGCTACGACTGAGAGATGTTGAATGTGAAGATCATTTTCACAAAAGTTTACTGAAGACTTGTTATCTGAAGATTCTTTGAAGATCACATCTTGTAAATTGTTTTTGTTGATTATTGATCTACATTGTCAAAAGAGAAGATCACTGCGGTTCTACATTCGAGGGGGAGAATGCTAGAACTTTCTCAACAGATGATTACTTGAAGATTATAAGTTGAAGATTTCTTTTGAAAGTTGACATATTGTGCTTAATGTTTCAAAGTTCAAACAAGGACTCAAAGYGCATAATTTTCTTTCAAGTCTGAATACAAAGGGGGAGAATGTTAGGATTGAAAATCAGTATTAATTGTATTCGTCTTGAAAGTTAAATATAGTCTATAATTGTAGAAGTCATCGTGTTTGACTTTTATTAGACAGGTTTGACTTTGACTTGTGTTAGTAGGTTTGACCATATAAATAGGAATGGTCTTTGTATTTTGTAAGGAGAGAGCTTATTTGTAAATCATATTACGTAAATGAGAGTTTGACTATGCTATAAATGCATTCACTTTTCCTCTCAACTATCTTAGTGTTCTTGAATGCAATATTCAGATCTGCCATTGTTGTGATGCTTAATGAAGATTGATCACTGAAATAGGGACAAACAAAATTGCCGCTTCCTTGAAAGATTAATGAGTTCAATATACAAGTCACCTGAGATTGTAACTGATAAATTTATTGATTATCACTTAAGAAGGACAACGTCAAATAAGTCTAGGTAACCTGCCGCTCCTTGACTGATCAAACTACCAAAGAACATGAGAAATTTGTATAAATGAATTGTTTCAAACCACAAAGAGGCCAACGAAAAGATATTGGAAAACTCTATCTCAACTAAAAAAACTAGGCGTTGGTTCATGTATAACACCCCTTAAAGAAGTCACAAGAAAGACATTCCTTATATGTAGCTAAAGGAGATATATGATACGTGCAAGATCAACACATATATCAATTGAAACTAACTTTGCGGTAGGGGAAAAGGGATTCCCCACATATACCATAGGCTTGACAGAAAACCAAATGATAATTTATGTCTACAAGCATCGTGGTATGTAATCACTCAAATAAAGTGATGTATTTCTCATTTTCTAGAGGAAACTTTACAGTATATATATACAACAAAGGAGACCCTATTTAAGGAAAGGATACTATCACACTAAAAAAGAGACTCTAATTTACTATACCTAACACTCCTCAAGTTGGAGTGAAGATTTTAATCATGCCCAACTTGCTACAAATGAAATCTATTTGTGCTTCATGTAATGGCTTTGTCAAAATGTCTAAAAGTTGGTACTCGGTCCTGGTGTGTTGGTTAAATAGATGGAGGGGCTGGTTGCGACAATCCAGTCCCTGATCAGATGACAACAAACCTCAATCTGCTTAGTCCTCTCATGAAATACTTGATTCTTGGCTATATGGATAGCTGATTGATTATCACAATACAATCTCATCAAGTCGTCAGTAATCACTCCAAGTTCTCTTAGAATTCTTCTTACCTACGTCATCTCACATGACACATCTGCCATGGTTCTATACTCTGACTCAGCACTTGATCGGGAAACAATATGATGTTTCGTGCACTTCCAAGAAACTAGATTCCCACAGACAAATACAACCATATTCTGTAGTCGATCTCCTGGAAATGGGACAACCAGCCCAATTGGATCCCCTTCTTCAGTGAATGCACCCACTCGACAATGGCCCTGATCCGAATAAAGTATCCCTAAGCTAGATGTGGCCTTGAGATACCTCAGAACGCGAAGTGCTGCCTCAATGACTTGTATAGGGAGCAGATATGAACTGGCTCAAGATACTAACCAGGAATGATATATCTAGTAGTAACCGTTAAATAGTTTGTTTTCCAACTAGTCTTCCTGTATCTCTAAAGATCCTTCAGAGGATTTCCATCATTTGGGAGTAGTTTTCCCATATCGAGCATCGGATGGTTTGCACCCCTATAGACCACACTCGGTAAGCATATGAAGAACATATTTCCTCTGAGATAGAAGAATCCGTTGTTGAGACTGTAGAAATTGGTTTAATTCTAAAATTCAGATATTATCGTCTCCGGATATAATAATATCAGCAACATAAACCATTAGTATGATTTGTCGACCCTCATGGTGTCTAAAGAACACAAAATAATCCTGGGAACTGCGAGTCACACCAAACTCCTGGAGAGCATATGGAAAACATCCAACCCATGCCCTAGGGAACGTTTCAAACCATACACGGATATAGAATTTATGAACCAGTGATCGAAGTTCTCTCTCTCTCTCTGCTTTTATCTGTATTTCTAATCAATAAAGAACGAATTACAAAGACTCTACTTTATAGCCAGGACACTAACAACCAGACCTTTATGGAAAGATAAAAACAACCTATCTAACAAACTATGAGCTGATTGACAGGAGATAAACACAATCTATCTAACAAACTACGAGCAGATCGACAGGAGATAGAGGATCTCCTGTTATCGGCTGACTTTTGACTTTCCACACTCCCCCTCAAGCTGGGCTATGAATATCGATCATACCCAGCTTGGACCGCAACTCTTCGAACCCAAGTCATGATAGAGCCTTTGTAAGAATATCTGCTGTTTGCTGTTTTGACGGCACCAATTTCAGCTGAACTTCTCCCCGATCTATCTTCTCTTTTATGAAGTATCGATCAAGTTCCACATGCTTAGTTCTTTCATGGTGCACAGGATTCTTTGTGATATCAATCGCAGATTTTTGTTGTCATAGAATAGAGTGATAGGACCATTCATCGTTACTTTTAGCTTTGACAAGAGTCGTCTTAGCCATATTCCTTCGCAGATTCCATGACACATGGCTCTACATTCAGCCTCATCGCTGCTTCAAAGCTACCACAACCTGTTTTTTGCTTCTCCAGGTTACTAGGTTCCCATAAGAACAATAACCTGTAGTGGATCTTCCATCAGTTCGTGATCCACCCCAATCAGCATCTGTGAAAACTCTTACCTGCTAATCGGTTGTCTATCCAACGAATAGTCCCTGTCAAGGATTTTGTTTCAGGTATTGCAGAATTTGAACAACCGCTTCTTGATGATCTTCTGTTGGTTGGTTCATGTACCTGATCACCATCCCAACAACAAAACTGATGTCAGGTCTGGTGTGTGATAAGTAAATTAGTTTTCCAACTAATCTTGGATACCTTCCCTTATCAGTCAGTTTCCTATCTCTCATTTGATACTTTCCTTGAGGATCCATAGGTGTCGAAACTGGTTTGCATCCCAACATCCCTCTCTTTTAGAAGGTCTATGGTATACTTTCTTTGTGTTACAAAGATACCTTTGTGGGATATTGCAACCTCCATTCCAAGGAAGTATTTGAGCCTTCCTAGATCTTTCACCACATCCTTTAAATGCTTAAGCTCCTCCACATCATCACCAGTCAAAATTATATCATCTACATACACGATCATGATGACTTTCTTCGCTGTTGATGAACTTTTGATGAACATAGTGTGATCGGTTTGACATTGAATGAATCCATGGTGTTTCACCACTTGAGTTAGCCTCTCAAACCAAGCTCTAGGTGACTGTTTGAGCCTATAGAGTGATTTTTTCAGCCTACAAACCTTTCCAAGGGATTCTTTTGTAGCGATTCCCGGTGGCACATCCATGTACACTTCTTCCTCTAGTTCTCTGTTAAGGCATGCATTCTTTATATCAAGTTGCTTTAGTGGCCAATCTAGGTTTGCTGCAGGAGAAAGCAATACTTTTATAGAGCTCAGTTTAGCAACAGGTGCAGACGTTTCTCCATAGTCGACTCTGTATACTCATGTAAATCCCTTTGCCACCAGTCTCGCCTTGAATCTATTAATAGTTCCATCTGCATTGTACTTTACGGTAAACACCCATTTACAACCAACCGTTTGTCTTCACCGAGTGTTATTTCTTAAGAGGGCATTCATTTCTTCGTCAACTGCTGCCTTCCATTCATGATGTTGTAGAGCCTCTTGTACACACTTTGGAACTTGTATGGAGTCTAGAGAATTTGCATTTATGACTGGCAGATAAGCCTTGGTGCGTCATAAAATTACTGATTGGATGTGTCGTACACGATCGTTTTCCTTTCCTCAATGCTATAGGGACATTAAGATCATCCTGTTCGTCACTAACCTTATCAGTGTCTGAGGTATCACGTTGAGAATTCATACCTTTGCAAGATTCCATGTTTGGCTCGTGATTCAGATCAACCTCAGATTTGTCTCGATTTTAGATTGAAGATTTCAATTTGATTTATCACATCGATTTGTTTATTTCCTCCAATTTTCACGTAGATAACATCTCTGTTCCGGTTTTTGTTATACTCGGTTCAAGGTTTTCTGATGAAGAAAAAAAAAGGGATGGTTTCTCTTCTACTCGGTTAGGGTTTGCTGAGAAAGAGAGAAATCAGGGATGCTATGTGCTGTTGGTAGCTTGGAGATGGAGATAGGCTTTTTATGATAAAGAATAGAGAATGTATTGCTGATGGAAAAGTTGGGTACTGTTAATTTTTTGGTCTGAAGATGCAGATCCCTTCAACTATATAGACGTTGTTGGTGAATGTCTTGCTTGATAATACCTTCATCAAACAAACATCAACAATATAAAGTAATATAATGGAATATAAAATAATGTAATGAATATATTCATTCCTATTTCCTAATATATTAATTCCCATTTTCATTCTTATTCCTACAAATGAACCAAACGCACCCTAACTTCCTTGGTCGAACAGAAAATAAAACATCAATTTATAGAAGATCTCACTTCCATTCTTCAGCACAAGTGTGACCACATCAAAATAAAGCCTAGCAACAAAAATGAAGAAACTCCATAAAAACGTAAAAAAGAGACTTGAAAATTTACCTGTACAAGCATCTCTTCTGTTCCTACTGAGTTTATCAAAAACGAGAAAACAGACAAATCAACACCACTAGGCAAGAGAGTTGCCTCTGCTAAAAGGATAGCAGCCGACATGCAACCAAGAAAGGCAGCAAAGAGTTTTTCAAGTTGCCTCCACATGACGCATCGCCATATCAATTCTACAAAAAGATCACACCCATTAAGAATCTTAAGACAAGTAATTTACCTTCAGAAATCCTGTTTACATAAATGTATTTGAGGTTGCTGAATTGGCTGGGGGACCCCCAATCCTGTCAACATTCTTGTTTTTTAAATAGTTACCAAGATCTGATTATGGGTTATTAAATGGGAAAATAGTCAAAATTATAAATTGGAAGGCTTTTTCCTAAGGGGCCCAACAAATTCCTGAATGGAATTAGGGGGTCCCCCAGCCAATATAAGGTTCATTCGTAATAGTTACAATGCTACCTACAAACGTTGTGTCCACCAACTGTTTCATTTTAACTTTCCCAACATTCTTTATCATTAATGTGGTGAGATAAGCATAACAGAGAAGTACTCAATTGGTGAAATGGTGAACTCTAAAGACACGTAGACAAATTTATCTCCTAGCCGCATTTGCATGTTGCAACACACTCAAAGTAAGAATGGAAAAGAAGATGGTCACATCAAGTACCCATTCTATCAAGATAGCTGCCCGATGTGCCTATCCGTTCAGGTCTGAAGCTTGAAACAAATTTCCTGCAATAAACTTTAAATATCACCAAGAGGTTTGCATTTATAATAAAAAAAAATATTTTAACTAATACCAAACAGAGCCGCACAATCTTTGAACAAACATAAAGATGAAGTATTAATTAAGAAAAATCAGGAGATGTTCAAAAACCCAATTGCGTACAAAATCACAAGCCAGTAGACAGAAAAGGTAGAGAAGGCCAAATACCTACTCATACAAGTAACAAACAGATCAACAGATCTGCTACATGATAAATTTTATCTGCCTCTCAAAACCTATCTATATTCCTATTTAGTTTCTCCTGAACCATTTGTTTCTTTGGCAGAACTTAGTTCAGAATTGGAATGGAGTAATGATAAATGACCAAAATGCCCTTTTATTATATTTTGTAATTTGCTGTTGAACTTATAAATATTAGTAAATTATCATTTAATGTATAAAATTTTGTAAACAATTATTTATTAAATCAAATATAAACACGAACAACAAAACTAAAACCATAAGCCAAATTACGTTACTGATAACCCAAATTGTTCATGCATACAAATAACCATATTCGTTCGTACATACATTACTAAATAAGCCATATTAATAAAATTGAAGTACATATTTCATAATCTAAGCAGTTAATGAGACCGTTTTATGAAGTTGCACTCAATACCTTGACTTAATATAGCGGTTATCGAGTTGGTAAAGTGGCAAATAAAATTTTGGCTCATATAATAAATACAAATATACACACACACACACACACACATATATATATATATATATATTTATAAAGAAGTAAAGAACTTAAAATTTTGTGCATGTAAATATGTCTAATACATAGAAAGTGAGGTAAAACAGATCAAGTCTCACACAAGAAACATAGTAATGAAGCTTGTAATGGTTATGATTGAGCTAACTGCACTAGCGGTAAATAGCGTAAATTGCGGTCAAATAGCGGTAAACAGCACCGCTAATCACAGGAACACTATTATAGCCCGTTATTTGACCACCGGTATAGCACCGCACAATTGACTGTGAGTTCATAACTAATGTCATTCTTCATAAATATATCCCATAACAATCTTTCCCACTTCTCCTTCCAAAATGCCAAGAATTCAACACGGCTTAAGGCTCACATGCTACTTCCAACTTGATTTAAAATTTTCAATTGAAGACAATTAATCGATTTCACAATCTCAGAACTAACCGTGGAAGTTCTATTTTGCAAATTCAAGTAAGCTTTCACCATGTAGTTCAAGTTTCTCCCCAAAAAAGATAACCATATTATTATGATCATCAGAAAAGCATCACCTTGAATTATCCTCTTGTTACGACTTTGACTAGAAAATTATTACCCCGCATATTTGTTGTGTTATGTAAATACGGGCTACAATCCGTCGGGTACTTCAGAATATCATTCATTTGTTGTTCTAGATCCTAATCTTCCATGTTTGCATCATCAACCATCTCAACAAAATTTCTAACTCTATTTCCTTGAGTTTGATTCTTTTCTGAAAACAATTTACAAATCCTTAAGAATGAGAGTGTCTTATTTTCCATTTCGTTGTGTCCATATGGATCTATCATATAACAAGCTTTAACTAAAAAAGCATTTTATTTATAATTAAAAATATAGCATGATAGTAACATGAATCTATTCATATCATAAGATTTTGTTTTTGATTTGCTACTTACTTCTGCAAAGATTTCGTTTTTCTGATTAAACTTGACCTTGTTCTATGTCTTCCATATGTTTGTATGTGTTCGATTTTAATTATTAGTAACTACATTTTTTTTATTAAATTTGTATGAAATGAATAGGTTCATAATGAGACAACAAATCAAAAAAACAAGACATTTCCTTACTTTGAGGATTTATGTATTGTTTTCGGAAAAGATTGAGATGATTTAGCATGCCATGACGTTGTTAGGATCGCTAAAGCTAGAGATTTCATTGCGACGGTAGATGATGCGAGCATGGAAGATCAAAAACAACGATGAGATGATATTATGAAGTATCAGATAGAAATTACTCGGTATTTACATAACGCAACAAATATGTGAGGTGAAGAATATCTGAATCAAAGTAAGGAGAAAAGTAGAGGCGATCCTTTTCTTGACGGTCTCATAGTGTGGTTATATTTCTTGGGAAGAAACTTTAACAAGCATCAAACAACATGGTAAGAGTTGAATTGGATTTGCGAAAGAAAACTTTCTATAGCTAGTTCCAAAATTGTAGAAATCCATTCATTTGAAAAACTCAAAGAAAGTTAAAGATAGCTCACGAGGCTAAACTCGGGTTGAATTTTTGGGATTTGGAAGGAGAAGTGCGAGAGACTTTCGTGCCATATTTGGAAGAATGACACTAATTATAATATACGTACTTTAGTATTATTAATTTATGTTATTTAGTAACATATGTATGAGCAATTATGGTTATTAGCATGTATAAACAAATTGGGTAATTAAAAACATCGAGTTTATGGTTTTATTTGTGTTGTACATGTTCACGTTTATATTTGATTTAATAAATAGTAGTATACAAAATTTTACAAGTTAAACAACATTTTTGTAAAAATATCATCAAAAAGGATTTGGTCATTTATCATTAATTCATTCCGATTCCATAGCTACAGGTTGCCAAACAAACAAACAGATTCCAATTCTTTTAACAAACTTCATTCTAATTCTGCCGACCAAACATGATTAAGGGTGCGTTCGGTACACTAGACAGGACTGGACAAAAGGGATCACTGTTCCACTTTAGGCAGGACTTGTATGTGGAACATAGTGGAAAAGGCGCGTTCCACCCCCACCCCATGGAACAAGGTGAAACAAACTTATGTTTTACCAATCTAACCTCGAAATAAAACTTAATTCTCTTCCAAAACATCAAATACACCTTCCTCTTCAAAATTTTATTCATTTTAAAAATTTTATTCATTGAGTTTGATAAGAATAAAGTATGGTACCTTGTCCCGCATCCATCTGACAAAACTGTGATAGGCACCAAGTGGGTTTATCGCAATAAGTTAGATGAACAAGGAAGTGTAACCCGAAACAAGACTCGTCTTGGTGCTCAGCGATACACGCAAGAAGAAGGAATCGATTATGATGAAACCTTTGCACGAGCGGCTAGACTCGAAGCTATTCAACTCTTCCTAGCCTATTTTGCCCATAGATAGGGATGGTGATTTGGCCCGACCCGGTGGGGAACCCGGTTCACCCGACCCGGACGGGGACGGGGAATCCCCGCTAAAACGGGGACCGGGACCGGGGCCGGGGCCGGGGATCCCCGGTAGAGGCAAACCGGGGTTGGGGCCGGGGCCGGGTATTGTATCCCCCGACCCGCCCCGTACCCGGTATATAAATAAATGCTAAAATTACTAGTTTGGGCTTTGATTATGCATATGTTTCAGACTTTAATTATTTGGGTTTGGGCTTTTTGGACTGGACATTACTCAAAGTCATCTTCAATCCAATACTCCATAGTCCATACTCATCGTCTCATCCTCTCACCTCTCAGACCTCAATCAAGACAATCCTCAATTCCTCATACCTAATACCGTAATACGTAATACCTCTACTACTCGTCTACTCCACRGTCCACACTACAGGTCACAGGCGACACCGGTCACAGGCGACAGACACAGTCCTGAGTCCACAGACAGCACACCGCCGGCAGCGACTACTCTGCTGTTACGCCATCGCCTTCAGCTTCACCAACGCCCTTCGCCAGTTCGCCCTTCACCCTTCGCCTACGCCCTTCGCGGCTACTCTGCTGTTAGTCTGTTACCCCTTCCCCTTGACACCAGGCACCACCAGTCACCACTCCAGCAGGTTGCAGGCGGGAGGCGGCACTCGACAACACTCGACAGTGAGTAAACCCAATTGCCAATTTTTCCATGTCTTTCTAGTTTCTAGTTACTTATTTCATTATTTGTCTGGAATTCGCATACAAGTTTTCCTGATGTATGATACAACCACTTCAAAGATTCGACTTTGAATTCCTGATGGTATCCCAACCGGGGGTTGACCGGGGGTTGACCGAAAGTTGACCGGGGACGGGGCCGGGGCCGGGGACTCTGTACACAAACCGGGGCCGGGGCCGGGGATTACAAACCCCGCCCCATCCCCGCCCCGTTGCCATCCCTACCCATAGAGACTTTAAAGTCTAAAAAATGAATGTAAATAGCGCTTTTCTAAATGGAAAACTTCAGGAGGAAGTTTATGTTAAACAACCTTCAGGGTTCTCTGACCCCAAATATCCTAATCACGTCTATCGATTGGATAAAGCTCTTTATAGGTTAAAACAACCCATCGTGTCTGGTATGACACCCTTTCTTCATTTCTCATCTCTGAGAAATTTGTCCGTGGAAAGATTGACCAGACCCTATTTCTTAGGAAAGTCGAGGGTCATATCATTCTAGTGCAAATTTATGTTGATGATATTATATTTGGTTCCACTAATTCCTCTTTCTGTTTTCGCTTCTCTGTACGCATGAAGAAAGAATATCAGATGAGCATGATGAGAGAATTGTGGGAGAATTGACATTTTCGAGGTCTTCAGATTAAGCAATCTGATAAAGGCATTTTTATCAATAAGAGTAAGTATGTTAGGGATATGTTGAAAAACTTCGACTTAACCAACAATTCATCTATAAAGACTCCTATGGCTCCTCCTCTCTCACTGAACAAGGATCCAAATGGAAAGCCTGTAAACATTACCGCTTACAGAGAAATGATCGGCTCCTTGTTGTATCTCATAGCTAGCCGACCTGATATCATGTATTCTACTTGTCTATGTGCAAGATATCAGTCTGAACCCAAGAAATCCCATCTGATTGTTGTAAAACGATATTCAGATACCTGAAGGGTACTCCTAATCTGGGCCTTTGGTATCCCAAAGACTCAGGTTTCGACCTAATCGATTATGCATATAGTGATTTTGCAGGTTGTAAGTTTGATAGGAAAAGCACCACCGGAGGCTGTCAGCTTCTTGGTGGAAAGTTGG